ACCAGGACGCTAGCGATCCCACCAAAGTACCCAAACCTCCTTCTCGTCTCACATGGGTCGAACGACAACTTCGATTACGGTTCAGCGGATATCGCAACCGGCCGTTCTTGCATCAAAGTTTTTAACACAACCGCTATTCCCACGGATGGCTACGACTACCCAACCGATGGATACCACATGGGTTACGGGCTCCGGAATGAAGTCGGTCTAGCATTCGACGCTGACGGCATGCTTTGGGGTGTCGAGAATTCTTCGGATGAGCTGCATCGTACTATTGACGGGGTATCCGTGGATATCCACACTGACAACCCAGCTGATGAGATCAACTACCTTGGAGATCCATTCAAAGAGAATACCAACTGGTATGGGTACCCCACTTGTTATACCGTCTTCAACCCGGCATCTATTGCAGACAAACCATTCACGATGGGCGATCAGTTTGTTCTTGAGCCCAACGCGACCTTCACAGACGATACCTGTAACACCCGCAGTATACCACCGCGTCTTGCTCTCCCGGCACACTCCGCACCCCTTGATGCGAGCTTCAACAGGAACTTCACTAGCATGTACATTACCCTGCATGGATCTTGGAACCGCAACCCTTCGATTGGATACAAGATCATTGAAGTGCCGTTTACCAAGGGCCCGAACGGCTTCGGACCGAAAGCAGCCGTGAATAGTACGCAGAGTTGGGCTGATATCTTCTGGAATCCGGATGTGGATTCTTGCTCGACTACGCAATGTTTCAGGCCTGTGAGTATTGCGCAGGATGGCTATGGTAGGATGTATGTGACTAGTGATAGCGGGGCGGAGGGGGAGATGATCATTATTGGAAGGGAGTAGATAGGGAGATGTGTGGGATGAGGGAAGCTCTTCGCATTCGCTTAATGTGTCTCTATATTAGATTCGTCCGCCTGCTCCATCGACCAACCTTTCGGAATACTCACTAGCAGTCTGTCTGCCTGCCTCGGTGCTTTCCACAGTCGCTATTTGACATCGCGCCTTATCTCGTGAACATCGAGGTGTTCAGGCATCGTTCGCTCGAACATACCGAGGTATCTGGCTTCGGACGTCTTAAGTTCCCGAGAATTGGGTACTTGTAGCGCCGTCCAGCCCTACGAAAGTTTCCGATAAGGCAGTACAACTTAGCTGGTGATCATGATCTGCGGGGTACATGTGACTCGGCCTCTCAAATCAACACTCCAAGCATCTCACCAGGCGTAACCAGTCTCGCGCATAGTGGTCCAAAGGGGGTCAACAGAGCGAGTCATGCCTGTCGCACACAAGTCATGTTTCCTTTTGCGGTAAAGTGAGCGGCTGTGAAAAAAAGCAACTAAGGATCTGCCTCGGCAAAAAACTCGGTGACGTATTTACCGCTTCAACAACACTAAGGTTGCGAACGACACCCCCAATCGCACGGCGGTGAAAGGCGGCCGTGATGGACTAGATGATGGACGAATTGTCTAGTGGTGGGGTAGCGTGCGCAACGTGTGGCGTCGCACGATGGGGGTGGAGCCACCTCGGAGGTTGAGGTCTGAGGGTGGTTAGGTACAAAGGTCGACATGCACCGGCTCCCCTGGCCATTGCCCACCACTGACTTGCTGTCATAGCTTTGGTATCCGTCGGACGATTCACATATACTCCGAGTCACGACGCCGATTGAGAGACTACACTTTACCTGCCACCTCTCCACCTCCCCACGTCGCGTACCTGCGCCGGCACCCTTTCTCCACCGTAAGCACCGCCAGCAGTCCGCACACCGGCCCGCCATGATCGACTCGTACTTCGACGTGTTAGTAATCGGCAGCGGCCTCAGCGGTATCAACTCCGCCTACCGCATCCAAGAGTCGCTGCCAGACGCCAAATTCGCCGTCCTCGAAGCCCGCCACGAACTCGGAGGAACATGGTCGCAATTCAAATACCCGGGCGTACGGTCAGACTCCGATTTGCATACCCTGGGCTTCCAGTTCTACCCATGGAGGGCGAAGAACCCGATTGCGAGCGGCGAGAGCATCATGAGCTACTTGCAGGAGACGGCGCACAAGTTCGATTTGGACAAGAAGATTCGGTATAGACACAAGGTTATGAAGGCGGATTGGAGGAGCGAGGAGCAGCGGTGGAGGCTGGAGGTGGAGGTTGGGAATGATGTTGGGAGAGAGCCGAGGACGGTGGTGTACTGGACCAAGTGGCTTATCACTGGTACGGGTTACTACAACTATGACACCCCGCTGAAGGCGAATATCCCTGGTATCGATAACTTCAAGGGCAAGCTCGTTCATCCGCAGTTCTGGCCTGAGGATCTGGATTACAAGGGCAAGAAGATGATTATTGTTGGTAGTGGCGCGACTACTATCACCATGATGCCTGCGATGGTGGATAATGGTGTGGGCAGTGTTACCCAGTTGCAGAGGAGTCCGACGTACATCATGAGTCTGCCGCAGAAGGACCAGGTGTGGTTTGAGAAGTGGGCGCCCGAGTGGTTCACCCTCCGCTACAAGCGTAAGTCCTCCCTTCTCCTCTATACATCGATCTATACTAACAACCCAGGCTTCATGTTCACCCTCGTCCCCATCCTCCTCTACAAATTCTGCATCTGGTTCCCCACCCTCGCCTCCAACTTCCTCGTCAAGAAAGCCGCCCAACAACTCCCGCCCGACTTCCCCGTCGACCCCCACTTCAAACCCGGCTACAACCCCTGGCAACAACGCATGTGCCTCTGCCCCGACGGCGACTACTTCAAAGCTTTCAGCTCAGGGAAAGCACATATCGTCACCGACACCATCAAGAGCGTCGTCGCCGACGGCATCGAACTAACCAGCGGCACCAAACTCGACGCTGATATCATCGTCACCGCCACAGGCCTCAACATGCGTTTCCTCGGCGGCATCGACGTGCGCGTCGACGGCAAGAAAATAGAAGTCTCAGAGCAATACATGTGGCGCAACGCCATGCTCACCTCCCTCCCCAACCTCGGCAACATCATCGGCTACTGGAACGCGTCGTGGACACTGGGTTCGGACGCCGCGTCCCGCCTCTTCGTCCGCCTTATCAAGCACCAGCAAGAGCAGGGGTATACTAGTGTGACGCCTGTGATTGATGAGAAGAGTAGACAGAAGACGGTTAGTGCTAGTCCGTTGAATAGCACGTATGTCAATGTGGCGATGAAGAAGATGCCGAATTGTGCGGATGCGGGGCCCTGGAAGCCGAGGGATAATTGGTTTGCGGATAATTGGGGGGTTACGAGGGGGAGTATTGAGGAGGGGTTGAGGTGGGAGAGGGTTAGGGTTGAGTAGGGGGAGGGAAGTGTGATGGGCAGATGGGGTATATGAGGTTCTAATGAATGATATTTGAGTACGGTGTTTTGGTCTTTCATGCTGTTGCTTTGTCGAGAGAATGGTGTGGTGGTTTGTTACTGCTAGACGCTTCCATCCCAATGCGGTACTCACTTTTCACTTTCACTTTCACTTTCACTTTCACCGCGTCCGTACCATCTTTTCGACTTGCTTAAGTCGACCTCCCCCGTCTTGCAAAATCTTTTGCTACACCACGTCTCCCACCCACGCCACTCCATTGCGACCTCAGCCACCGACGCTGCGCATTCCTACTATACATCTTCCTAAGCACTTCACGCTCGCTACCCATCCAGCGCCCTGCTACTCACAGCATGCCGTCACGTCATGCTACAGAGCAGACTTTGGCGATCCGCTGCGACCTGGTTGCGAAGAGGTGTGGTCTCCGCGCTCGTGTTGCAGCGCAGGAACTCATGGCACGGCAGCGCTGCGTCGACTCCACGCTGACCTGAAATCATCCCGTCGCGATCATTATTACGACGAAGTCGACCATCCGCAACGTAGTTGCTCACCAGCGTAGTCTCCGCGACTATGTCGCGACGCGACAACCCACATCACGGCACCACCGCGTCGTCTCCCTGCAGACAACAACCACTATTATCGCGCAGCTCTTACGCGCTATCGAAGCGACTTCAAAACCGGCTTGATGAACCCAGGGGTTTGACCGACTTCGATGCGTTCCGATAATTCTTCCTTAGACAATGTCGCGCTGCGCCATCATCACGATGAAGGATGTGAAGAGATGGCATTAGCGACGAACAATGATACAGAAATACTGTCGGAGCGACTGTTGTATGGTTGCTGTTTAGCATCCTCGTGGTGTTCGCAGTCTGCTGTTACCGAAATGGCGAACCGTTGCCAGCATCCATCACTCAAGCGGGAAGACCTTCAAGAGCCATCACATCGCACACCCTTCGACCAACTCGACAGTATTTCCCGTGTTACCACTGATCTTACCCTTAGGATTCGTCTCCACCTCGCTAATCCATTCCTGGTCACGGCAAACCTCCGGCGCCATCCATCCATCGGCAAACCTCACCACATTCCACCGAGGTGGGGCCTTTTCCTCCCTAACTTCCCAACGCGCCTTTCAATCGCCGCCGTTGTTTCTGGGAATATAAACGCCGTATCTCGTCGTCCTTCCATCACAGCAGCTCTTCCTCCAAGGATCAGCACAACCGGGCTTGTGGTTTAGTGGTATAATACTCCCTTAGCATGGGAGTGGTCCAGGGTTCGATTCCCTGCAAGTCCATCTTTTTGCGCTCGTCGTCGTTGGAGTAATGCGCTGCTGTGTGTGTTTTTGGCCAATTGGAGAATTTACAGAAGTTTGATTTTTGCAATTTTGGGAAATCATGTCTAGGGACATCGAGCGCAATGGGGCTGCAGTGGCAGTGGTAGTAGGGAGGAGGGAGGTGGAAGGTTGGTATACTGATGTTGGGGGGTTAGGGATATGGAGACTTAGGGAAGCACGCGGCGTGTGGGTATTGGGGTGGACGGCGGGAGAGTCGTGCGTTGGGAGTCATATGTTGGAGTCTCGTATACCTCGCCGTTTCGCTACTCTGGATACTCTATCGTTCGTCTTCATTGTTTCAACGCCGATAATCTACAGTATATTCAACAGCCGCGATTGAAAACGAACTCGAAAACCGCCTATTGAGCAAACTTCCATTCTCGATACTCAACAGCCGCGAGCCTTTTCGTACAAGCATTGCCATACTTGAGAGGCCTATCCTTTGCTTCCCCGAGGTCAAGGAACGCGTTCACCTCCAGCTTTCCATCTCCCAACGACACAGCTTCAGGTGCACCCTCGCCCTGCCCGCTTTTTGCTTCATCTGGAGGCGCTTCCTGACTGAAGATCACACAAGTGCCGTACTCTTTGTCTGGCTCAATACGATTGCGGCCCATATCGAAGTCGAAGCCCAACTTCCACGGCTGATCCAGCTTATACTCAGGAGAGGCGTTCGCGGTGATGGTCAAGCGCCCTGATGGAGATTCGCTCGGTGAGACTCTATACAGCGTTTGGAGACCCCGTATGCCACAGCCATTCGGAGAGGCTTCGATCATGACAATGAGCTCGGGGACATCCGTCCGGCTGGCTACACTGGAGCTAGGGACGATCCTGCGGGTGATTAGCAACTCGAAGCTGAGTGTTGCTTCATTCTGGTCGTCGTCGCATCGCGATTCGCCACTCACATCCCCGTTCTTCCACTGGAAGTGTCGCGAGAGAAGGAGATACAGTCGCCAGCCACAGCCCTTTACGTCGAGGTTCATCGCTGTCTTCGTATAACCATGGCAGAACTTTAGTACGTCGTCGACACTCTAGTACTACGTGGCTCGTGCCTGGGTTTGAAGTTTTGCGTGCGTCTTTCATCTTGGACACAATGGTATATCTCGGGGAATAGAGAGTAGCAAACCTTGGAGCAGCGAGAGGAAAATGATGGCGATAGAGCAACAGTAGCATGATCCGGGATTTATAACGTCAATATGACTCTTTGGGGATGATTTGTCGTATGATCGTGCGTTGACGGAGACTCATACACGACACTGAGCAGGATGCGGCAGCACCAGATTGTGACTCCGTAGAATACAAGAGGTCGTTGATGTTCTTCACCTCAACACTCCATACATTCCGCGATACTATATGTCTCGGATTAGGTTCCACCTTCAACGTCGATCACAGTACAACACAATAGAAACAAAAGATAATCAACAGCTCTCAACAATCTTCATTCTATGCGACCAGTAACCACTATCCACCATCCACACTCCCCTACTTCCACACTACCCCTTCTCTCCCCTCCTCCCCCATCTACCCTCTCCGCCCTCAAACGAGCAAACGATCTTCCAAAAAAAGGAGAAAACGCCCATGCTATGCAAATACAACCCTAACAATGCTTCCCAGCCATATCCGAACCCAAAGCCAGGCAAGAGACCATAACGCCTGATATCAAGCCAACCCAACACGCCGCCAATACGCACATCCAACTATGACTGACCACAGCTAGACATGCTGAAAGAAAGAAAAAGAGACAAGAGAAACAAGAGAAATATACAAACGAAAACACACCCCACACCCGTTGGTGTGGGAGGAAGGTCAAAGACCAGTCCACCCCCTCCTCCGTCGTACCTGCGTCAGATACCCATCTCCGTTCCGTCTCTCCCCAGGACCTTCCCTCTCAGGCGACTTCGTCACCTCAGATTTCTAATCCTGCACCCCCTTCCTCGCCGCCGTACTCATCTCCCCACCACTAGTCTCCCTCCGCCTCCTCACAATCTGCAACCGTGGGAGCGGCGGCGCATTACTCGTCGAATGCACCGGCTGGCTACTCGACGGAGCAGGAGACCCAGTACTATGTCCATGAGAAGAAGCATGGCTCGGTGGTGTTTCGTTCTCGCCTCCGACAACGCTTTGTCTACGCCGACTCACGGCTTCGCTAATGCGTCCTGGTCTTGCTTTAGGAAGTCGAGACGAGGACTTGGCGTTGTTGTGATTCGCTTCGATACGGGCGAGACTGGTTGCTGCGTCGCGGGAGGGAGGACGTGAGGATGTGCGTGGACCGGTTGGTGTACTGGTGTTTGATTGGAGGGCGGCGAAGGAAGTGGAACTGCGGGCGAGAGCGGGTGGTTTCGAGCGGCCGGACGAGGAAGGCGGGAGGACGGCGGTGGGGTCTTCAGCGAGATCCCACATTGCGGTTGAGGATTGGGAGCGCGTGATGCGGTGGTCGCCGCGGTGGCCCGTGGGTGTGCCGGACATAGGTGGGAGCATGAAGGTGGATTTGAGTGAGTTGGGTGTCGGGGGTGTGAGACCCATGCCGCTGCTCACGAGCGTAGAACCGGTGCTGGAGCCAGAGCCGTCGCGGCGGCCGGCTGAGGAGGCGGGGCGGCGCAGATTCATGCCTACGTTCGAGGCCCGACTAAGGCTTCGTTTCCCGTTTGAGCCTTTGCTGATGCCTGAGAGTTCGACTTCGTCGCAAGCGCGGACGAGCTCTTCGGCCATTTGGCGCACCAAAACCGCAGAGTCGTGTTCCATGAGCCAGCTGATGCGCTCGTAACAGCCAAATGCGCGTATGAGCCAGCAGCCCTCGTCCTTCGCATCGCAAATCGTCCGCAGGATACGGAGGAAGTTGAGACGCGTTACGGCATCCTTATGTCCCAGCTTCTGTTCTGTGCGACCGAAGATCTCAGGTACGGCGAGGGAAGCAGCGATTGGTGGTGACAAGCGAACCACCTTCTGCAGTGGCTCGAGCATGTTCTCGAAGGTTGAGTGTGGGAGGTCGGCGGAGGTATACGCGGAGATGATGGCGACGGTAAAGTTCGATTGCGAGGAGAGGAGATATTGCTCGACGCGGGCGGTTTCTTCCTGGAGCCTGCAATAGTTAGCATGAGATACATGGCCATCAACTCATTGAATACATACCACACGAATATGGCGTCCAGGGCCGTCACCGCCCAATTGCGGTCGCCCAACAGCGAAACGTAGAACGCCAAACCCTTTGCATCCCACAACATCTTCCGTGCCACCTTGCCCGAGTTGACCATCTCAAGCAGCACCGGCAGCGCAAACTCCTTGAGCGGGCCGCCTTCACGGACAACTTCCTTCAGCAGAGGAATGATGTCCGACAACGCAGCCTCCTCCTGTCTGCTCTTATTGTGCCGACACAAGTTGTACATGGTATTGAGGATCTGGTTCGAGATCTCGCGGTGGAACGGAGGGAGTCGAGCTGGGTCAGAGGCGGATCGCTGCTGGCTGCGGCTCATTGCGTCTTTCTGTCGGGTCGACTTCAGTAATTCGATTAAGATGTCGATCGCGTTGGAGTTTTGTAAGGCTTCGTGGGTCGACGAGAGGGAGCTGAGGTTCTTGATGAACTTGAGCATCGTGATTTGGTGCGGTGGTGCCATCTTGCGGAGATCTTTCAATACACCTGTGAGTTGTTAGCTATGTTCAAACTTGAGAAGAATCTACCAAGCTGCCCAAGGCTGTGCATGGTGAAAGCTGCTTACGCTTCAGAATCATTCGATCCGCCACAAGATCCTTGACATGACTCTCAGCTTGGGAGAAGATGAGGAAGATCTGTACAATCCTGCCGACGATGAGGCGTGCAACCTCACCATCCTCCTCCACCATGCGATTCAGCACCAAGCTGAGGGGGTATAGTACGCTCGATCTTGAGAAGATGCGACAAAAGTCATTCTTCGGGGTTGGTCCTTGCAATTCGAAAACGCCAAAGACGCCATTGACACCGATGAGCACTAGGTCGCGCTCGGCGTCAATGTCTTCCTCCAAGAACTCAACTAGCACGTTGATGCCACCACAGCCGATGAACATCTGCAGCGTCAGCGTGCTTGTTTGGTACATTTGCCGCACAAAAGCTGCTGCCTCTTTCCGGATGTCGCTAGGGAATTTCTTGGAGGCGAAGTAACAAATGGTAGGGATGCCACCCAAGAACGACAAGCTCTCTTGTGACTCAGAGTCTTCCAGGATGATCAGGTTGATAATCTTCAAAAGAGGTAGGACCACCTCGTTGTGCGGTCTGGTTCCGAGAATCTCCAAAATCGGCAGCATACCGTGGCTTCGTAGTATGATCGATCGCTTGTCCGGAGATTCATGTAGCACCTGCAGTAGTTGATCTGCAATGTCGAGTAGCTCGTCGTCGGGTTGACTTGTCTTCAGACAGCCCACAAGACTCTCCGTCATCTTCGTTAACCGATCGTCTCGGTCTCGCGCGACGTTGTTCTCCAAGTTGATATTGTCAAGGCCCTCGTCCAGGTTTGCGAACGGATCAAGATCATCCTCGTCAGCTATGATAAAAGAGTTCGCCATCTTCGATGTGATCATGGCAAGACTGCTGTGTTCACTTCCACTATCGCTCTCGGCTCGGCTAGGGTTAGCAAGCTGACTCTTGATATCACCAAAGACATCCGAAAAATCGTCACCTTCATCCTCGGCGTACTTCTGGATCTCGATCTCCGACTGTGTCCTTTGCAGCTGCTTCCGTGTCGATGTTGAGCTTGTCGATCTCTGATGGACATTGCCACCGGACTTGAGATCGCGCGTTGACTTGGGCCCTGCTTTTAGGTCGCTGGGATGGAACAATCGCGGTGAGAAAGTGTCAGATGGTGGGCTGGAGTTGGTGACGATTACTTGTCTAGATGGCACGGCTGGCGAGTTGGCGTACTGCATGGACGCTAGCTTACGCTCAAAGGCACCCTCATCAGCTGGCATGAGATCCGAATAATCCTCGACAGTGTCCTCGCGAAAGAGCTGACTTGGCCGCGCTGGCGCTGTCGTCTTTGGCTTGGGAGGCTGTGCAGCCCTTGGTGTACCTCGCAGGAATGCCGTTCTTGGCTGGGGTTCATGTCTATCCTCGTACTCTGATGTGGAAGCGTTCGAATTTGATCTCGAAGACGTGTTCGATGAAGACGCAGACGTCCTAGGTCTACCGTTGGCGCCTCTCGATCTCTCAACCGCTCTATGGCCCGACGCTTTCGGGAAGCTTTGGAACTGCGCCAAGTTCATCGGACTCTTCACCGTAGCCTCGCCATCGTACTCTGCCATCTCTGTAACCGACTCAAAACTGGCAAAAGCCTTGAGCTTGTCGCTCGAAAAGAGACCGCCAAAGTTGTCCTGTGGCTTCAAGTGTGGCATCTGCAGGGCGCGGGGCGATATGCTTTCGGCAAAGTCATTATCCCAGTTATCGTCATGATCTAGCTCCGGGGAGCGGAACGACTCAGCGGTGGGTCTGTGCTTCGGGATGTTGAGATTAACATTGGCCGGATTCTTGCGAGATGAAGCAGCAGGACTGGCTTTCTGCAAGCCCGACACAAGACGCGAGCTTCGGCGCAGGGAGCTGGGCGACTTTAATGCCTCGTTCCATTCCTGCACGGACTTGACTGCTTCCTGATATTCGGTAGGTTTTGTGGGTACTGCAGGGACAGTCCGCTTGGCGCTGAGAATCCATGGGTGCTTGAGGAGGCGTTTTGCGGAGATGCGGAGCGTGGGATTCTTCTGGAAACACTCCATGAGAAACTCACGCAGCAGCTGTAGGGGTTAGCATCTGACATATAGGGACCGCAGGTGCACTTACCGGAGAGGCACTTCCAGGTATCGGCGGGTGCTCATCGTTGACGATTCTGAAGAGGGCCTGCATGGGCTGCAGTTTGTGGTAGGGCGGCTTCCCTTCGATAAGCTCGATGACTGTGCATCCCAAACTCCATATGTCTGACGACGTAGTAGCGCCGGATAGTTCGATGACCTCGGGAGCCATCCAATA